GGCGGGCCTGCAGCCTCCCGGGGGCGGCGGCTCGCCTGGTCACTAGCAGGCGTGCTGCGGGCAGCAGCTCCTTGCTCAGCAGGCTCCCCAGCACCCGCGCACAGCTCGTGGCCTCGTGGGGGTCTGTGCAGGGCGAGGCCTCGGCCGGCTCTGGCGCCAGCATTTCGTCCACGCCGTCCAGGATGAACAGCAGCCTCTCGGACTGCTCCAGCATCTGCTGCACCGGCGCCTTGCGGTCGGGGCACTGGTCTAGGATCAGGTCGGCCAGGCTGCACATGCCCGGTCGCTCCAGCAGCTCGCGGCAAGACAGGAAGAAGGCAAAGTCCACCTGACTGTGGTACAGCTTGCCCGCTGCCCAGTCATACAGGATTTTCCTGGCCGCCATGGTCTTGCCGATGCCCGCCGGGCCCTGCAGCGCCACGGTCAGCCGTCTCTCGCCGTCCTCGTCGCGGCCGAAGAGGCGGTTGAAGGTGTGGGTGTCTGAGCGCCGGGCGCGCTCGGCCTCCGGCTCCTCGGCGATGAGCAGCTTGGTGAAGCGCTTGTTGATCTTCACTGAGCGAGCGTCCCGCTCCTTCACCTTAGCGTGCTGCCGCAACACGTGCTCCCGGTACTTCTTCTTGTACTCTGCGGGTCGGGGGGGGGGGGCGCCGGACGGAGGGCAGGGGAACAGGGGTCGAGGAGCGCTATGTCATTGCCTCTCTGGGGCCCGTTGCCCTCCCCGGCGGGCTCCGCCCTCAGTTTCCCCTGTTGCCTCACAACCCCCTCTTTGCGCTCCTCCCCGGGGCCAGCTGTGCGGAACCTCCGAGTGACTCTGAGGACACCCGAAGTGTCCGGACAGCTCGGAGCCTGCGCTTCCCGCCGAGAGAGACCTACCGGAGACGGAGAGCAGCGCCGGGGAGCTGAGGCCGAGACCTGGAAGGGAGAGCTGCGTTCGGTCCCGCGGACAGGGCGGGGTGCGGAAGGGCGCCGCGGCCCCGGGGCGTGCGGGCGCTCTTTCGGGGAAGCCAAAGGAGGGAGGCCCGTGGCCAGGAACCTGCCCAGGCGGGAGAGGCCTAGGGGGGACCCAGGCGAAGCCCCACCTGGCACTCACTCTGCAGCCGACGCTCCTTGAGTTGCGCCGCCACGTCGCGCACGTCTGCCCTCTTCAGGGTTTTCCGGGCCACGTCCAGCGCGCGTTCCGGCCCGTAGAAATGGACCAGCAGCTCCACGAGGTCCAAGGTGTCCGCGCCCTCCAGCCGCCCCCACGGGATGCTGCGACCGTCCACCCACTCGTCCCGCAGTTTGTGGCGGAAGCGCTTCAGCTGCTCTTGGCTCAGGTCTTCCAGTGCGCCCAGGAGCAGCTCGCGGGCAGCGGTAGCGCGGGGCTCCATGCTGGGGGTGGGGGGACGCGGTCAGCAGGGTGCCGCGTCCCTGTGACCCCGGCCTCTCGCGGCAGTGTCAACCCCAGCCCTCGGCTCCCACGAGCAGCAGGTGTTTTGACACGCCCCCATCTATCCAGGTGGCTCCAGACCAACACTTGAAAGAGCGCTCTACTGGGAGGGTCGTCCTCTCCTCCCAGGACCGCGACAGAGGACTTTCCTCCAAGGCTTTCTAAGGCTTTCATGCCGCCGACTGCATGGCGGTCTGGTGGCAAAATGGAGTTACTCCCAGGCCGGCACTGGCCGCCGCTGACCCCAGCGTTAGGGGGCGCCTTCCTACCCTGCAACATCCCCCCCCACCTCCCCCACCCCGCCCCCCGTTCTGCTCCTTCCTTCTAGGCACCCATGTCAGATGTCCCAGCTAAGATGTGTCTGTGACGGCCTGTGTGCTCCCCTTCCTTGCTCCCCTCCCACTCTCCTCCCCAGGAGCCTGGAGCAGACTGACCACTTGGCTCTCATTGTTCTCCTGGATTCCCCAGGACACCGTGGTCACTGCACCCTGTAGTGGGGACTAGCCTGAGAGCCTTGCACCAGTCGCTGAGACTGAGCTCCTGGTGGGGGACAGACCCTACAGGTACCCTCTGAGGGGATGGAGCCCCCAGCACCTGGAGCCTGGGGTGCAGTGGGGGAAGGATGCGTCTGCAGGGTGCCAGGTGGAGGACCCAGAGAGCTGAGGCCAAGTGACCTCTCAGAAAGCCGGCACTCACCTGGAGCAGGAGGCTCTAGCTGGTCTGCAGAGTCGACCCCTAGGTCTAGCACTCAGGTGCAGAGATGGGGATCTGGGAGCCTATCTAGGGTCAAGTCCTAGGGGGATTTCCAGCCCTGTCCATACCCCAGACCAAAGTGTTCTGGCTCAGCCAACTCTGCGATGTTCGTCCAACAGTCACCAAGCTCCCAAACTCAGGGACTGTGGCACATACTTACAATCAGCCTTTAAGAGCTCTGCTTGGTGACCTTTGATTTTCTACTGTTCAGTTCACATGCTCTGAGAACCTGCGGGGTGTGGCAGCAAGGCAGGCTATGAGCAGGAAATGGCAGAGCAAGGTGGGCTGTGTGGAGGAGGCAGAACAAGACCTTAAACTTTAAGGCCTCAAGATAGGTTAATTTCTGAAGGTGGGGATGAGCCAGGGCTTCCTAGGCAGAGGGGACAGAGGAGGGACTTGCATGGTTTTTGGGGGGAAAGGAAGGCTGTCACCTGGGACCTATGAGATAATGGGACTGGGAAGAGCTCTGTGGCTTCCCAGACCTGGCTTGAGGAGGTTGACGGCAAGAGGTTTGAATGAGTGTGTGACCATACGGGACCCATGAATGTGGGTTTCTACTGACAGTGTCTGCTTGTGTGAAACGTGGGTGTGTGTGTTTATCTGGGTCTGTCTGTGTGACCATCTTCATACTGTGTTTGAGTGAATGTATCTGTGGTTGGCTAGATAGTAGTCCTCAAAGATACCAGATCCTAGTGCCTGGGAGCTGTGAATGCCCCCTTATACGTCAAAGGGGACTCTGCAGGTGTCAAGATCAGGATCTTGAGATGGGTCATCACAAGTGTCATGGGATGGAGACAGGGGGAGGTTTGGCACAGAAGAAGAAGGCAGTGTGACTCTGTGGTGAGGTGCCAGGCTGCTGGCTTGAGGACAGAGGAAGGGACCACGAGCCAGAGAGTGCAGGGGAGACAGCCCTGGAAGTTGGAGATGCTACTGGGAAAGGAAGACGTTCTCTCCCGGAGCCTCCAGAGTGAGTGCGACTGAGCCAACCCTGACCTCAGCCAAGTGAAGCTTACTTTGGACTTCCGCCCTCCAGACCTGGAACAGAATGAATGTGTGTTGTTTTCGGCGCACGAGTTTATAGTAACAGCTCAGGGTCTCCCTGAGAGAACCTCTGTGAGTGTGCATTTTTGTGAGAGGGTCTCTGCAGAAAGAGGGACTCTAGCATCTTCACAGCCTCTCGGGCTCCACAAGCCCATGTTCAGTCCTGTTGCCTTCAGGCCTCGAGAGCTGCCCTGGGGAGGGACCCAGAGTCCTGGAGCCTCTATTCTGCTGCCCTTCCCCAGAAGGAAAGCGTTCACAGAGGTGATCTGCTACTTGTGAATTTTGTTTCTGTGTGAGCCAAATAACCCCCCCCCCACCCCCGTCCCTGAGGAAGTCTAAGGGAGAAGAAAGGGAAGGTCCTGTTTATCCACACTCAGGCCTGCCCAAGGTCACCTCCTCATTCTCTCCTGCTCCTGGCTCCGGCAGCCTCCTGGGCACAAGCAGGGTGGGTGAGGAGAGAGCCTGGAGGAGACACTGTACACATCCTGCTGGGAGGGGACTGTTTGTTCCCACAGAACCAAGAGGGTGGAGCAGAGCACCTGGCTGGTATGTTGAAGCAGCCCCCTCGGGCCAGACCCAGAGCAGGAACAAGACCCTCCTTCCATATCGCAGTGTGGGCAGTATCCAGCAAAGCAGAGGACCGGGCGGGGTCTCCTTGGAGTTGAGTCCTGGAGACAAGCCCTGAGCAAAGTCTGGCCTCAGCTGCAGGAGGGACCACTGTGAGCCCTGGGTGAGATCCCAGATGCTTCAACTCGCTGGCCCCTCTCTCAGCCCATCTGACATGCTGGGGTTCTGCAGAGGGGGCTTTGCCAGGGAAAGCAACAGCCTAGACCACAAAAGCAGATGGTTTAGAGCTCGGCTGTGGACAGAATCTGGCCCTACATAACTGTTGGGCATCTCGGGGCCCCTGGCCACAGCCCCAGTCCTGAAGACCCTATGTGGCCCCAACCGGTCCCCTTCCTGACCCCTTCCTTGATTTTCTTTAGGAAGTCCATCCTAAAGGAAATCAGTCCTGAATATTCATTGGAAGGACTGATACTGAAGCCTCAATACTTTGGCCACCTGATGCGAAGAACTGACTCATTGGAAAAGATCCTGATGCTGGGAAAGATTGAAGGCAGGAGAAGTGGACGGCCGAGGATGAGATGGCTGGATGGCATCACCGACCTGATAGACATGAGTTTGAGTAAGTTCTGGGAGTTGGTGATGGACAGGGAGGCCTGGCATGCTGCAGTCCATTGGGTCGCAAAGAGTTGGACACAACTGAGCGACTGATCGGACTGACCCCCTCCTGGGATACCTCACAAATCTCTGAGCTGCTGCACAGACAGACACCACACATGGGCCACGGCTGTTTCTTCTAACTGCACAGTCACTTTCCTCTTCACACTATGAATTCTCGAAAGCTAGTTCTCCGCAAATGAACCATCTCCCTTTCATTGTTTTAGACAGACTACCTGGGATCAAATCCTGGCCCCACAGTCCAGTAGCTGGATGACCTTGGACAAGTTACTTAACCTCTGGGCCTCCATCTCCTCTGCAGAATGGCATGGTGATGGTACCTCAGTATCGAGGGCTGAGAGGAGCCAAACTGTAAGGGATGTGTCTGCCACACTCTAGGTGTGTTATTATCATCACTTATGTTCTCTGGATGACCTCTCACCATGAAGTTATGTTTTCTGTGGTCATCAAGAATGTCCATATCTCTAAACTCCAGGTCTGATTCCACTTCACCTCTCCCTAGCACTTAACACCTGACTACGAACTTTTCCTCAAAATGGCCTTTTCCTCTTGTCAAAGGCACAAAGATAGCCGTGGGGCCAGGCAGCGTCTGTCTGGTGCGTTCTGCCACAGCCAGTCTGCGGGGGGCCCTGGGGCCGGTGCTGTGAGGGTGCCAAGGTCAGCCTATCTCCTGAGAGGGACTCTCCCTCAGTGGACTCTGTGCCCCCATAAACTCTCAGCACCTGCTGATAACAGCCCTGGAAAAGTGTTTGATAACAGGAACCAAGGTTTCCGGGAATCTTTGCCAGGATGTGAGATGTGGAAGGAGGGGTATGAGGAGGAGAAGAAGGGGAGGAGAAGGGGATGACAGAGGATGAGATGGTTGGATGGCATCACCGACTTGATGGATATGAGTATGAGCAAGCTCTGGGAGTTGGTGATGGACAGCGAGGCTTGGTGTGCTGCAAGTCCATGGGGTCGCAAAGAGTCAGACACAACTGAGTGACTGAACTGAACAGAGGGAGGTTGGGTATTGTCACCCTGCTTATTTAACTTACTTGCAGAGCACATCATGAGAAATGCCAGGCTGGATGAGTTATAAGCTGGAATCAAGTTTGCTGGAAGAAATACCAATAACCTTAGATATGTGGATGATACCACTCTAATGGCAGAAAGTGAAGAGGAACTAAAGAACCTCTTGATACAGCGAAGGAGGAGAGTGAAAAAGCTGGCTTAAAACTCAACATTCAAAAAACTAAGATCATGGCATCAGACCAGGCGTTACTCATGGGGCCACTCCCAGCTGGAGGAAATATGGGCCACATTTCCAGCCTAAAGTCCCATCACCAAAGATTGTTCTCCCAAGACCTGTGGTCTGACCACAGAAGTGCCCTGACCTTGAGAGTATTCCAGGGACCAGCGTGGCTCAAGTCTAGCGAATTTACATCAAAATCCAGCAGCTGGTGGTGCCGGTGCTGCTGTTCCTGGCTCGGGAGAGGATGGTTTCAGTTCAAAGTGCAGCAGACAGTTGGATTTAGGTCCGAAGTCCCTACAGATCCCAACAGAACCCTCCTGAAGCCTCACGGCTCAGGCTCACAGCCACATCCAGAATCATCAGGGTGGTGCTGGGGGCCTCCAAACACAGTGTCCCTCTGGGCTTCAGCTCCTCTGAGGGCTCCATCACAGCAGGATTTTCCTTGAAAAGACTTTCGGAGCCTCTCCCTCTGCCTGAAGTCCGGTGCTCAGGGCAGTGGCTGATGGTTCTGTCCCCCACCCGCCCCCCGTGTTCCCCACCCGCTGTCCGCACGTATCACTCCCTCTCCTCCCGCCCCCTGTGGCCCCTCAGCACTGTAACAGCCGTGTCACTCCAGGGGTCACAGATGGACCAGAGGTGGCAGGCCCTGCCAGCTGCGGACCCAAGACCCATGCTGCCCTTCTCTCGCAACCTCATGATTAGTTCAGTGTTGCCCTATAAAGTCTGATTGCCTGAGACAACCATGGGACAGCGTCTTGGCCAACAAGAGGGAAGCGGAAGCTGCCTGGTGAGCGACAGGGAACCAAGTGCTGCTGGTGTGAGAGCAGGTGAGCTGGCCCAGCCTTCGGTCTTGCCCCCTCCCTGCCCTGTGTCCTGTGTGGCCGTGGGCACAGGGCCTGGAGGTCAGGAGTGATGCTCTTGCGAGGATGGAAACAGCTCTCTGAGGACAGAGGACCAGGAGGAGCGAAGGAGCCTGGCTGGGGGATGCCCAGCTCCTAGGCTGCCTCCTGAGCCCTTGCCGGGTGGAAATCCCGCCCCTGTGGGTCTCTGTCCCACGTGGCCACAGGCAGCATTCTTGATGCTCAGAGACCCATCTCTGAGGCAGTTCCTGCTCAGACTCCTTTCTGATGCCTGTGTCCCTAGCAAGGCCCTCTGTTGCTTTCTCTCCTGTAAAGAGCAGACCCAGCCCTACACCCTGGTACAGTGCCTGGGAATGCTCTCTTCTTTCCCCCTCGAACAGATGAGAGGCTCCTTCCCCCAGGATCCTGCTGGCTAAATACTTCACCCTTGGGAACCTCAGCTATGCAGAGAAGCCAAGGAGAGGGGCTTACAGGGGTCTTTAAAATAAGGCAAATGAGTATTATTCACCCTTCAGAAGGGAAGGAATTCACGGTACAGTGTGGATGGGCCTTGAGGACATGATGCTCAGTGGAATAAGCCAGTCACCAAACAGCATATCCTGTCTGACTCCACTCACACAAGGGCCCTGGAGGGGTCAGATTCACTGACACAAGAAGTAGACGGTGGGGCAGGGGCTGCAAGAGGTCAGGGGAGGGGAGTGAGTGTTTCCGGGGACGGAGTGTCCTTTTGGGAGGGTGAGCAAGTCCTGGAGGTGGATGGTGCTGGTGGTTGCACCACGGTGTGAATATGCTTAATGCCCCTGAGCTGCGCTCTTAGACATGGCTAAGACGGTAATTTGATGTGTGTTTTGCCACAGTTAAGAAAAAGATGAAGTCTCGTGCCAATAATCTGATTAATGATTAGCTCAAGTGTTCTTCCCAGGTTGGAAACCAGGCCTCTGTTTAGCCGGAAGGGCTGCTGGCAGGACCTTGGGACTAGCAGTGCCACCCGGGGAGCGCCAGGGCCATAAAGTCTGATCAGGCTTGGGGGGGCTGCTGAGTGCCCGCCCCATGACCGCCTCCCTCTGAGATCTGGGCTTGTAAGATCACTGAAATCCCCTGGTTGTCTTGCTGCAGTTGTGAGGGCCTCCCACCATCACGGAGTCCAAGTCTTTGGCCACAGCCCCACTTGTGAGGAGGGACAGGTGGCCCCTTCTCTGACAGACCCCCAGGTTCATGCTGGTCTCTGCTTGTGGGGGCGGGTGTCTTGCTCCTCAGCCCCTCCGTAGGTGGGGCTTGATGGAGAGAGTCATGGATGAGGTTCTTCTTCCAAAGGTGGTCTGGATTCATCAGGTGGATGAGGGCACCATCTGGATCCTTGGGAGGCTCAGGGAGGACCAGATGGCTGGCAAGTGCCCTGAGCCAGGGGCCACAGAGACGGGCTGCCCTCCGCACGAAGCTTTTCTTTGGGAGGGGGTCGCTGAGAGTCTCTGTCTGCTCGCAGGGCTGGGGGGCTCTCCTGGCCGCAGAGGCCATGCAGGGACGGGAACAGGGAAGCCCCCGGGGCCTTGCTGCTGCAGTGGGGAGCCCCTCGCAGGCCCCAGCTCCTCTCACAGATCAGCAAGGGGCCCTTGAACCTGAAGCCCTGCCCCTGCCCGTGGCTCATGCTCTGCTGTGGCCTGTAGGCTCACCCCCACCTGGCATACACTCCTGTGAGCGCCTCCTCTCCCTGGGCAAGGCCCACAGAGCAGCTCTTGTGTGTACACACAGAGTGGGCGCAGCGCATCACTCACTTCCTCCATTTCCTGCTCAGATGTCCCTCCCCAGAGGCCTCCAGCCACCTGCCTAAACAGCCTCCCTCCACTCTCCTCCTCTCATCCTTGACCAGGTGTCCACAGGCGGTGAAGTCTGGGGGTGGGGGTGAGGGGCGGAGGGGTCCTGTGCACAGCCTAATTCCTAGTTCTGCAACTCACTGGCCACTATGTGACCCTAGAAACGCTCTTGACATTCCTGGGGTCAAGTTCCTTCATCTGAACTTCTTGGGATTGTGAGCTTAAAGGGAGGAAATACAAGTAAAAATAGTTTAAAGCCCCTAGCTCACATCACATACAGTAACTGACTCAAAATGGACCAAACAGCTAAATTTAAGAGTTAAAACTATAGAACTCTTGGAAGAGCATAGGAGAAAATCTTCATGATCTTGAATTTGGCAGTGAGTTCTTAGATAGTGACAGCAAAAGCGTGAGCAATGAAAAAAATTTTTTTTACTTCATCAAAATTAAAAACTTTTGTGCACCAAAGGACACTATCAAGAGAGTGAAAAGACAGCCACAGAATGGGAGAAAATTTTTGCAAATCACATATCTGATAATAGATTAATACCTAGGATATAAAGAGTTCCTATTGCTCTTTAAATGAAAAAAACCCAAAAAAGTCCAATTAAAAAATGGGCAAGGATTCGAATAAACATTTCTTCAAAGAAGGTGTACTAATGATCAATAATCACATAAAACATGCCCCAAATCATTAGTCATTGGAAAAATGCAATTGAAAACTACAATTAGATATCACTTCACATCTACTAGGATGACTTCTAGTTTAAAAAAAAAAAGAAAATGGAAAAAACCTTAAGTGTTGTTGATGATGTGAACAAAATTGAATCCTTGTGCATTGCTGGTGAGAATTTAAAATAGCGCAGCCACTGTGGAAAATGGTTTGGTTGTTTCTCCAAAGACTCAAAAGAGTTGAAAACAAGGACTTGGATGGATACTTGTACACAAATGTTCTTAACAGCGTTATTCACAATTGCCAAAAGATAGAAACAAACCAAGTGCCCATCAATAGATGAATAGATAAAGTGTGATGTGTAATACAATGGAATCTTATTCAGCCACACAGTGGAATGAAATTCTAACACAGGCTACTACAAGGATAAACCTTGGAAACATGCTCAGTGCATTAAGCCAGACACAAGAGGACAAATACTGTATGATTCCACTTACATGAAAAACAGAATGGGTAAATTCATAGACACAGCAAATAGACTAGAGAAGTTACAGGGACTGGGTGGGGGGAGGAAATGGGGATGGGTGATGAACGGGTTTTGGAACAGTGGTGGCTGTAACACAATGTCGTGAATGTAATTAATGCCACTGAATCTTACACTTCACAGTGGTTAAAATGAAACATTTTGCATTAGGTATATTTTACCACAATAAACAGAAGGACCTGCCCCACAGCCCCTGAACATGCAGTGTGAGGTGATGGGAACAAAATCTCCTGCCTGGAAGGAGCATGCACCCTTGTTGGGGAGACAGAAAATAAACAGGATAAATCAGTAAACTACACATGAATTAAACAGTGCCAAGCCAGAAGGGAACAGAGAGAGGAGACAGGAAGTGGGTGCACAGGTGGACGTGGGGGATGTCACAGGGCAGTGCGGAGGAGCACCCTGCCCCGGGGACAGCTGTGCTGAGGTCTGGCGGGAGCCAGCCTGTTTCGGACACAGGCAGCTGTGCGGGGAGAGGAGGTCTGAGGCCTGCAGCCAGGGCTGGGGGCCAGGAAGGCAGGGGGCACTTTCTGCACAGCTGACAGAGCCGCAGGGGTAGCGCCAAGACGAGGGGAGGGCGGAGGTGGGGAGGCCCCCTTAGCCCCCAGGAGGCCTCCCTTCCAGTTCACTCCCCCGGACTCCGCCCACCAGGACTGCCGAGCCTCGAATCCCAGTCTTCCAGGGTCCCTTGTCCCTGTGTCTACTGGCTCATATGCCACGGCAGC